AGATAAGAAGAGAGTGTGGCGTTTTATTGCAAAGATGAATAGAAACTGCTCGAAAACAGAGAGCCTCGCATAAACATCACTATATCCAGTATGAGAATGGAGGTGAAGATGGTAACATCAGTTTTCTGATGTCTTTACAGCACAGCTCGACATGTTGTGATTGAAACAGACTCACAGAGCATGCTTCGGAAAATTGAAACTGGTGTCCGGCGCACAGTGGCTTGCATCGCTTGATAAGACCCAGTCAAGAGCATGTCATTGATTTTCTGTCAAGGATATTCATGTGTGCGAGATAACGTGCATGCTGACAGATTGACTGCTGCTCCTCTGTGCGGTGAACTGCTATAATGATAAAGCACATTTGGCGAAGGCTCCATGAGATCAAACGGAGAGTGCAAAAGAGCAGATCGCGAATCCACCCACACACCGAAAGACTAATTCAACGGGGGAGGAGTAGAGATTCTGGAAGATATTCAGCATTGAAAGGGAAACAAGAGGGTGACTTTTTAATCAGGGTGCAGCTGGTACTATTAACATGTCAACTCTTTGTTGGTTACTGAAGAAGGGGACGGAGCACGTGTAGGAATGTCCCTAGTGCAGTAATGTTAGTTCTTGACTGATTCATTGATTCATCTCACTTTCTCTCTACTCCGTCTCTCATTCATTCTCTCCTTCTTTTGATTCTATCTCTCTTTATCTCTTGTTCTTCCTCTTTCGCTTTCTGTCTGTCATTCTAATCAGCCATGTGTCTTTCCATCTATTTTTATCTCTCATTCTCTTACTCCCTCTCTACTCACCTCTCCGTTTTTCTTTTTCATTTTCTCCTTCTTTCGATTCTATCTCACTTTATCTCTTGTTCTTCCTCTCTCGCTTTCTGTCTGTCTTTCTAATCAGCCATCTGTCTTTCTATCTATGTGAGTGAGTGAGTGACTTTCTACCCCACTAGGACATCACACAGGCGATAAACACTCGATGACACAACGTGCCACCATGTGGATGAGGATCACCGTGGAGAGGTCCCAGAAACCGCGTTCAGACATTTGGCCATTTTTATGGCCTGCCTATATTGCGGCCCCTGGCAAAAGCCAGAGTGGGGCTTCAAATAACAAAAAATTACGTCCTGAAAAGGGCGTAAGGACTTAAAGCTAGATTGGAGCCGTCCACTCTATCTATGTTTCTCTGTCTTTCTTTTATTCCCTTTGTATGTACCTCTTTCTCATTGGCTCTCTTCCCCCCTCCCCCCAACCCTGTCTCTACCTGTTACCATTCTCTCTCTCTATCTCTCTCTGTCTCTCTCTGTCTCTCTCTCTCTCTCTCTCTCTCTCTCTCTCTCTCTCTCTCTCTCTATTTCTCTCCAACTATTTCCCTATCACCCTTTCTAACAATCTGTGCCATTTTTACTGAGTATTTTATTAATTTAACCAAAATCGTAGTAAAAAGTAGAAAATATGGTGGCCCTAAAAAGGCTTTTGGAGAAAATTTATTGACGCTTTGCTCTATGCTGAACTGCAGAAAAGAAAAATTGCCTTTGTTCCTGCTGCGGACTGCTTGTATGAATTACTGTCTTTATTTCATGTGTGAATTACTGTCTTTATGGCATGTGTGAATTACTGTCGTTAAGGCGTATATAAATTATTGTTTTTATGGAATGTGTGTTAGGCGTTGAGAACGCTCTTCGTAATGTCGGGGTGCCAGGTTTGATCCCAACTGGGAGCTTTGCGCCCTGTATGAGTTTCGACAGTGCTATCCAGAAGCCAGAAAACTATAGCAAACAACTGAATGGAAATTTGCCTAGAAAAACTACAACAGCCAAAAAATGCTGTGGTTGGTTGTGCAACGTCCTCTAAAGAATACGCAAATAACTAATGAAAGAATGTCTTACGGCATGTGTAAATTGCTGTCTTTCCAGCATGTATTAAATATTGTTCACTGCATGTATGAATTACTGTCTTTACTGCATATGTTAATTCCTGTTTTTCCCATGTGTGAGGTACTGTTTCTCCAGCATGTGTGAAGTACTGTTTTTCCTAGCATAAGTGAATTATTGTCTTTCCAGTATGTGTAAATTACTGTTTTTCCAGTGTGAATTACTGTCTTAACGGTATGTGTTAAAACTGTCTTTGTAGTAAAGCAAACAAAGTATTGGGACAGCTGGCCCTTCTTACAGCAACAAGGCAACCCCAAATAGTAAAGTACAGTATCTAATACAAAAAGTACATTCATAAGAGAAAAAGACGACACAGAACAAATTATAAATTACACATAAAGACAGAAAATCAAATAGTTTGCCTGCGCACTTAGAGAAAACGCCTTGTGACGCCATACCATAAAAGGCATAAGTAAAGTAAAAAGTAAAGATCCCTTTTCATGCCTTTTAGGCCGAACGAGCATAGAGAAAGAGCACCCATATTTTTACAGACCATCGGAACTATGTGGGTAATGTGGTCAGCATTACACCAGCCGTCTTTACTTCCACAGGACAGCCATCGTAGTACCCATTTTAGGCTGGGTCGACCTGCGACCCCCTATACCATGATAAAAATCCACGCAGCCTGCAATGAGTTTCGATAGCAGTACATTGGAATTACGAGTCTGACGTGCAAAAAAGGCATACAACAACAACAAAAAGACACGAGGTAGAGCAAGAACTAAGTGGATAGATAACATAAGAGAAACTCTACAGCAGCATGATGTGTGTATGGTCGTGGCTGCCAGAGAAGACACAACAGAACCGTATATCTTTTTCGACAGCTAAAGCAGTAAAAGATGAAATGAAGAAGACGAAGATTTGCCACTGTGAGAACAGTAGAAAACTGGGATCATAAGCCTCAAGATTTAAGGACGCTTGGCTAGAGCAGCCGTTTGCGACTGCGCAGATTAGGATTTTGATTTTTGCCGCCGACAAACAAAAATCTCAAGCTCTTAACGAAAATCAACCCAGGGTTTCCTGCATGAGAACCCAACTCTGTGCAGAAAGGTAGCATCACGGGCGTCCACGGATATCTAGAGCATGCGACTATGATCTGGAAAAGTATTCGGAGTGCTAAGGCAGGGAGAACGGATTTGCGCGTGATATGGCTGGACCTCGCCAACGTTTATGGGGCAGTACACCAGAAGCTGCTGTGGCAGGCCCTTCGCATGTTCCACGTACCGACACGGATCACTGAATAGATCGAGCAATATTTCTCAAAGTTTGCCATACGCTTTTCTACCCCGACGTTTCAACGAGATGGACTAAGCTCCAGGTTGGATAGCGATGGGTTGTACAATTTCGAAAATACTGTTCGTTATGGCCGTGCAGGTCATGTTAGATGGAGCTGCCGGCGTCAGCCAGGGCTTCAGATTGGGGTTCATTGGATGCCGCCACTGAGAACTTTCATGGATAATACGACTATCATCACGGGCAGCGAAGATAATGCCCGTGCTATTCTAGAGAAACTGGATCGCGTTGTCGAATGGTGCGGCATGCAATTCAAGCCTCAGAAATCCAGAAGTCTGTTAATCCTGAAGGGCAAGGTGGCGGCAGTCAGTTTCAAGGTGGCAATGAATAAGGTCCCACGGTTCTAGAGGAACCAATGAAGAGCCTCGGTTGCGTCTACGATTCCAAGTTATCCGACAGAGCGGAAATCCGGCGCATACATGAGTCAGTGTCAATAGGTCGGCGTGCAACTTAGAAATGCAGGCTGATCGCAAAGTTCAAGGTGTGATGTATCCAGTTTATGTTGATCCCTAAGCTCTCTGGCTGCTGCTCGTTTACAATGTCAGCATGACAGCAGTGGAGGTGATGGAGAACACAGTCAGCACAGCTATGAGGAAGTGGCTTGAAGCTCTGCCTTGTCTGACCGATATGGCTCTGTGTTGTAAACAGACTAAGCTGGTATTTCCGTTCAAGTCGATTACGGAAGAGTTTTCAGTCGGCAAGATGGGACTCGCAATGATGCTGCGCGAGTCCTCAGACCCCATATTGGCAGCTGTCCAGCCGCCTCTGAAGACTGGTACGAAGTGGAAGGTCCTGGATGCGATAGAATCTGCACAGAAAGCACTAAAATTGAAAGAGGTCATGGGTTACACACAAACCGACAAACGAAGCCTAGGGGAGGGGAAAGTCATCTGGAGTTCAAACACCTCGAAGAAAGAACGCAGAGACATGGTAATAGAGCAGATAAGGAATACCGAAAACGAGACTCTGGTCCAAAAAGCAACCTGGCAGTCGCATCAAGGTCAGTGGATCGGCCTCGAGAGCGACTTGCCACGAATACTCACACTTTGGTGAGATTTGGCGAATGGCCCCGCTGCGACTGAGCTTTGTAATCAGATCTGCCTACGACTTATTACCCTCCAAAGTCATCTGTGCTGAAATTTCATGCGACCACCGACCCGGCATGCCCCCTCTGCAGAGCGAAGCAGACCCTCGAGCACGTATTGTCCTGAAGGAGCCAACGGACATTGTAGACCGCAGCCAGGATGTGGGCCAACACGACCCAGTGCCACCCACACAAAGCGCTGGATCGCAAACGTTTCCTTCTCATGACCCTTTAATGGCAAAGTCTAAGTTGATGTTGATGATGATCATGGTGACGACTATAATTCTTGGAATACAAATGAAAATTAATATTAAATCTAATAAAGGAACGTACCCTGAGCTGAGTCAATCTAGCGCCGCCCAGCCATTCCGATCTGACACACCTGTGCATTGCGACCAAGTGCAGTCAACAACGACAACAGGGCGTTTTGACCATAACAAGCCGTTGCGACCACCAGATAGGAGAAGGGGCGATAAAAATCAGTCGGCCGCTTAAATACCCCGTGGGCTGATTTTTCCCCATTTTCCGTCCAACTCTATTAGTTAGTTCCGGTGGCCTTTAGCCATTTTCAAACCAGAATCAATTCAAGATCTTTAATCTGCTGTACTGTAGTCTTCGTCGCTTCCACCCTATTACATAATTATTAACATATATGATGTTTGATGGTACAATAGGTGCCTCTCGAATATTCCACAGGTGTCAAGGCTTACATGGCCGTCAGCCTGCTTCTCGTGTGCTATGGAACAGAAACAGGTAACCACCAGATACAATACACATCTATTCACGTCTGCTCGTCTTCTGTCACCAAACTATCACCGTTATACACATATACTCACCTGTGCTTGTGTGCTCTTGTCCCTCAACTGTCACTGATCTACACATATACTCACCTGTGAGTGTGTGCTCTTGTCCCTCAACTGTCACTGATCTACACATATACTCACCTATGCTTGTGTGCTCTTGTCCCTCAACTATCACTGATCTACGCATATACTCACCTGTGCTTGTGTGCTCTTGTGCCTTAACTAACACTGATCTACACATATACTCACATGTGCGTGTGTGCTCTTGTCCCTCAACTGTCACTGATCTACACATATACTCACCTGTCCTTGTGTGCTCTTGTCCCTCAACTGTCACTGATCTACACATATACTCACATGTGCTTGTGTGCTCTTGTCCCTCAACTATCACTGATCTACACATATACTCACCTGTGCTTGTCTGCTCTTGTCCCTCAACTATCACTGATCTACGCATATACTCACCTGTGCTTGTGTGCTCTTGTCCCTAAACTATCACTGATCTACACATATACTCACCTGTGCTTGTATGCTGTTGTCACTCAACTATCACTGATCTACACATATACTCACCTGTCCTTGTGTGCTTTTGTCCCTCAACTATCACTGATCTACACATATACTCACCTGTGCTTGTATGCTCTTGCCCCTCAACTATCACTGATCTACACATATACTCACATGTGCTTGTGTGCTATTGTCCATCAACTATCACTGATCTACACATATACTCACATGTGCTTGTTTGCTATTGTCCCTCAACTGTCACTGATCTACACATATACTCACCTGTGCTTGTGTGCTCTTGTCCCTCAGCTATCACTGATCTACACATATACTCACCTGTGCTTGTGTGCTATTGTCCATTAACTATCACTGATCTACACATATACTCACATGTGCTTGTTTGCTATTGTCCCTCAACTATCACTGATCTACACATATACTCGCCTGTGCTTGTGTGATCTTGTCCCTCAACTGTCACTGATTACACATATACTCACCTGTGCTTGTTTGCTCTTGTCCATCAACTATCCCTGATCTACACATATACTCACCTATGCTTGTTTGCTATCGTCCCTCAGCTATCACTGATCTACACATATACTCACCTGTGCTTGTGTGCTCTTGTCCCTCAACTATCACTGATCTACACATATACTCACATGTGCTTGTTTGCTATTGTCCCTCAACTATCACTGATCTACGCATATACTCACCTGTGCTTGTGTGCTCTTGTCCCTAAACTATCACTGATCTACACATATACTCACCTGTGCTTGTATGCTGTTGTCACTCAACTATCACTGATCTACACATATACTCACCTGTCCTTGTGTGCTTTTGTCCCTCAACTATCACTGATCTACACATATACTCACCTGTGCTTGTATGCTCTTGCCCCTCAACTATCACTGATCTACACATATACTCACATGTGCTTGTGTGCTATTGTCCATCAACTATCACTGATCTACACATATACTCACATGTGCTTGTTTGCTATTGTCCCTCAACTGTCACTGATCTACACATATACTCACCTGTGCTTGTGTGCTCTTGTCCCTCAGCTATCACTGATCTACACATATACTCACCTGTGCTTGTGTGCTATTGTCCATCAACTATCACTGATCTACACATATACTCACATGTGCTTGTTTGCTATTGTCCCTCAACTATCACTGATCTACACATATACTCGCCTGTGTTTGTTTGATCTTGTCCCTCAACTGTCACTGATCTACACATATACTCACCTGTGCTTGTTTGCTCTTGTCCATCAACTATCCCTGATCTACACATATACTCACCTATGCTTGTTTGCTATTGTCCCTCAGCTATCACTGATCTACACATATACTCACCTGTGCTTGTGTGCTCTTGTCCCTCAACTATCACTGATCTACACATATACTCACCTGTGCTTGTGTGCTCTTGTCCCTAAATTATCGCCGATCTACACATATACTTACCTGTGCTTGTGGGCTATAGTCCATCAACTATCACTGATCTACACATATACTCACATGTGCTTGTTTGCTATTGTCCATCAACTATCACTGATCTACACATATACTCACCTGTGCTTGTGTGCTATTGTCCCTCAACTATCACTGATCTACACATATACTCACCTGTGCTTGTGTGCTCTTGTCCCTCAACTATCACTGATCTACACATATACTCACCTGTGCTTGTGTGCTCTTGTCCCTCAACTATCACTGATCTACACATATACTCACCTGTGCTTGTGTGCTATTGTCCCTCAACTATCACTGATCTACACATATACTCACCTGTGCTTGTGTGCTCTTGTCCCTAAATTATCGCCGATCTACACATATACTTACCTGTGCTTGTGGGCTATAGTCCATCAACTATCACTGATCTACACATATACTCACATGTGCTTGTTTGCTATTGTCCCTCAACTATCACTGATCTACACATATACTCACATGTGCTTGTTTGCTATTGTCCCTCAACTGTCACTGATCTACACATATACTCACCTGTGCTTGTTTGCTCTTGTCCCTCAGCTATCACTGATCTACACATATACTCGCCTGTGCTTGTTTGCTCTTGTCCCTCAGCTATCACTGATCTACACATACGCTCACCTGTGCTTGTGTGCTCTTATCCCTTAACTACCACTGATCTACACATATACTCACCTGCGCTTGTTTGCTATTGTCCCTCAACTGTCACTGATCTACACATATACTCGCCTGTGCTTGTTTGCTTTTGTCCCTCAGCTATCACTGATCTACACATACGCTCACCTGTGCTTGTGTGCTCTTATCCCTTAACTACCACTGATCTACACATATACTCACCTGCGCTTGTGTGCTATTGTCCATCAACTATCACTGATCTACACATATACTCACCTATGCTTGTTTGCTATTGTCCCTCAGCTATCACTGATCTACACATATACTCACCTGTGCTTGTGTGCTCTTGTCCCTCAACTATCACTGATCTACACATATACTCACCTGTGCTTGTGTGCTCTTGTCCCTAAATTATCGCCGATCTACACATATACTCACCTGTGCTTGTGTGCTCTTGTCCATCAACTATCCCTGATCTACACATATACTCACCTGTGCTTGTGTGATCTTGTCCCTCAACTATCACTGATCTACACATATACTCACCTGTGCTTGTTTGCTCTTGTCCCTCAGCTATCACTGATCTACACATACGCTCACCTGTGCTTGTGTGCTCTTATCCCTTAACTACCACTGATCTACACATATACTCACCTGTGCTTGTGTGCTCTTGTCCCTAAATTATCGCTGATCTACACATATACTTACCTGTGCTTGTGTGCTCCTGTCCATCAACCATCCCTGATCTACTAATATACTCACCTGTGCTTGTGTGATCTTGTCCCTCAACTATCACTGATCTACACATATACTCAAGTTTGCTTGTTTGCTCTTGTCCCTCAGCTATCACTGATCTACACATACGCTCATCTGTGCTTGTGTGCTCTTATCCCTTAACTACCACTTATCTACACATACGCTCACCTGTGATTGTCTGCTTATGTCCTTTAATTATTACTAATCTACACATATACTTACCTGTGCTTGTCTGACCCTGTCCTTCAATTGTCACTGACCTACACAAATTCTTACCTTGGCTTGTTTGCTCCTGTCCCTCAAATGTTACTGATCTACACATATACTCATATGGCTTGTTTGACCGCCTTCTATGCTTCAACTGTCACCGATCTACACATATATATACACACGCTTATCACACCCATATACAACAATAATGCAAACAGAAATAATCACAAACACTTTAAACCAGTCATCACCAATACACACAGACGTGCACACACGTACACCCACTTATACTAGTTAAGCATAGGACATGCACACACGTACACCCACTTAAACTAGTTAAGCATAGGACATGCACACACGTACACCCACTTAAACTAGTTAAGCATAGGACATGCACACACGTACACCCACTTAAACTAGTTAAGCATAGGACATGCACACACGTACACCCACTTAAACTAGTTAAGCATAGGACATGCACACACGTACACCCACTTAAACTAGTTAAGCATAGGACATGCACACACGTACACCCACTTAAACTAGTTAAGCATAGGACATGCACACACGTACACCCACTTAAACTAGTTAAGCATAGGACATGCACACACGTACACCCACCTAAACTAGTTATGCATAGGACACGTACTAATACACGTACACATTCAAGCGTGCCCATGCAGATCCGAACAACTAGCATACGACAATCAGGCATACACGTGTCGACATACAAGTGTCCACATACAAGTGTCCACATACACATGTTCATATACAAGTGTCCACATAAACGTGTTATCATACAAGTGTCCACATACACGTGTCCACATACAAGTGTCTGCATAAACGTGTCCATATACAAGTGTCCACATACACGTGTCCACATAAACGTGTCCACATACAAGTGTCCATATACACTTGTCCACATACTAGTGTCCAGATAAACGTCTCCACATACACGTATCCACATACACGTGTCCACATAAACGTGTCCACATACACGTATCCACATACACGTGTCCACATAAACGTGTCCACATAAACGTGTCCACATAAACGTGTCCACATAAACGTGACTACATACAAGTGTCCACATACAAGTGTCCACATACAAGTGTTCACATAAACGTGTCCACATACAAGTGTCCACATAAAAGTGTCCACATAAAAGTGTCCACATAAAAGTGTCCACATAAAAGTGTCCACATAAAAGTGTCCACATACACGTATCCACATACACGTATCCACATAAACGTGTCCACATACACGTGTCCACATACAAGTGTCCACATAAACGTGTCCACATACAAGTGTCCACATACAAGTGTCCACATACAAGTGTCCACATACAAGTGTCCACACACAAGTGTCCACATACAAGTGTCCACATACAAGTGTCCACATAAACGTGTCCACATACAAGTGTTTAGATGTTCACACCGCTAGCTACTTTTGTTTCAACGGACCAGGTCTTGATATTGGTGAAGTAATGATGATGTTGATGGGAGATGATGACCACAGTGGTAACGATGGGGATAGTGGCGCCCCCTTAACGTTCAACTTCTGTGTTGCATAGTTCATTCTGTCACCAACGAAACCAACATGCCCACCTGCACCTTCCCCACCATTGTGCAGCCATCACCGTCCAATTTCTGACAACGACAACGGTAACCTCAACAGAGATTTTCCTCACAGACTGAATGAAAGTCACCAAGAGAACCATAGAGAAAGCCGCATATAGGCAAGACTGTGTACAGCACAGCAAATGGTACAGCTAAGACTCATAGATGAGTGTTATAGCTGATCAGCATTGAGACACCTCAACAAAGATGGTTCTCACAAACTGAAAGTCACCAAGACAACCATAGAGACACACACACAAGACTGTGTACAGCACAACAAAATATACAGCTAGGATTCAAGACGATAGTCACAACTACTCAGCACCGAGTATATGACAAGCAAGGGGCCAGAGATGACGCTTGGTAGCAAGATACTGGACTTTATCTTGAACTTATTTAAGCCTGGGTTGACCTGGGAACCATGGTCATTTTTTGAAAAAGTCCGGCTCTTTTTGGATCTGAACCGGCAATCTTTAGATCCGCAGACAAGCGTATAGCCACTACACAACGGCGGCTCCAGGAAATCTGTATAACCATTAAATCTGCCAAAAATAAACACGTTGTGTGTGTGTAGCTTTTGCTACCTTCTAGTTTAGCAGGGTTAACTACTAACCACTCCAAGCACCGGAGATGTTTCAGATGCTTTCATCTTCTCATATATGTTCCGCTTTTTAAACACACTTTTGACAAAATGTATAAACCCAGTTCTTTAAAGCAGTCTTCTATAACTAAACCGATTGCAGAATCTCTGGAGTGCTTCCAGTGTGAGGCCACGTCGGAGACTGGCAATTGTATCACAGACTGGGAAGTGATGTCCAATTCCACGACACGTCAGATTTACGCCAAGAACTGCACGCACAGCAACGTCAACTGGACCAGATGTATGATACAGCGTGTCGAGGTCAAAGGTCAGTGCTGCAGTGGTTATGTCTCTATCATATAACTAGCTTGTTTATGAGTATCAGTCATATTATCATCATCCCCATCATCATTATACATTTCTACTTCTGCTATTAAGCGTTGTGGGGAGGAACAGTTTGAGATCCATTGATTAGTGGGCAGCAATGGCTAGTGTCATTCCGCGTCGACGTACTAGCTATTTAATGTCATCTGACCATATTCAACTGAGGCCGCCTCTTGGTTGTTTCATTTCAGATCTGTTCATGTGTAGCGCCTGGGTTGCTAGTTTTTCTGGCTGCAGACAAGGTTCAAATAATAGTAAGATTTTATATGACTTCTACATGTGGTAGACAGACGGCGTGACAGAAATTGAGAGAGACACACTGACGATAACGTTAGTAGCAATATCGCAGTTGATTGACATACATAGATATGTTAGAGATATGGGTCACCATGCAGCAAACTCATTGAGAAACAGGAGATCAGATGGTTTGGTCATTTAGTAAGAGTGCAGTCAGAACAACTACCACCGCAGGCACTATACATAAAAAAATCTGAAGTGAAATCAAGAGGCCGCCCTCGGAGTAGATGGAATTATGACATTAAAGAGCTCCTACATCGACACGGAATGACAATAGCCCATGTTACCCATCAACCAATAGATTGCAATGAGTTCCTCTCCACAATGCTTAACGGTAGAAGTGGAAATTATTGATGGTGATGAGAGATTTGGACGAAGAGAGTGGAGGCAGCACAGAGAGACAGTAACTCTACAACTGGGTTAGGTCTGGGGTCGTTCCACAAACATTTCAAGTGGTCACAATTTGTGGTCCGCCGGTCCCGCTTCTCAAAACATGAGATGTTTTTTCGTTTAGTGTTTGTGATAATTTGTCTGTTTGGACTAGTTTGTTTGTATCTATATTCGCATATATTCTCTCTTCACATCAATCTGCGACCCCCCCCCCTCCCCCTCTCTCTCTCTCTCTCTCTCTCTCTCTCTCTCTATATCTATATATATATATATATATATATATATATATATATATATATATACCTCTCTCTTTTTCTATCTCTCACACACTCTTTATCTGTGTATATATATTTGTGAGTGTGTCACAGACGCCGACAGACTGTGTACAGCACAGCAAAATTGTGTGTGTGTATATGTGGTCATATACACATAAGTTCTTCCATCAATCTGTCTGTGTGTGTCTCTCTCTCTTACTTCCTGTGTATGTATATATGTATGTCATGTATGTGTGTGTGTGTCTCTCTCTCTCACTTTCTGTGTATGCATATATATATATATATATATATATATATATATATATATATATATATATATGTGTGTGTGTGTGTGTGTGCGTGCGTGCATGTGTATATATATATATATATATATATATATATATATATATATATATATATATATATATGGTCATACACACATTCTTCTATCAATCCGTCTGTGTGTAAATCTCTCTCTCTCTCTCTCTCTCTCTCTCTCTCTCTCTCTCTCTCTCTCTCTCTCTCTCTCTGAGAACACAGTCACTGGAATGGGGGTGAGTATTTACTATTATTCCTGATAAATCAACACAGGGTACACTCTGACATTGAAGCATCAAGATATGCCAGCCCTTGGATTTAAAAAAAAATAGAAACACTGATTGCTTGGATATGCCGACCAGAACGTTTGTGACCAGTTAATACAAACAGAGAAATCCTATTAATCTCTCTGTTAGATACAGCGAGACGACTGACCATAGCATCGAGATATGCCAGTACCATCTTGGGAAAGCGATAGAAACGGAGTAGGTAATAGTAGTAGAGTTTACCCCACTAGGACATCACACAAGCGATAAAAACCCGATGACACAAAGTGCCACCATGTGGATGACGATCACCCGTGCAGATGTCCCGGAAACCGTATTCAGCCTTTAGACCATATTTATGACCTGGCTATATTGCGGCCCCTGGTAAAAGCCAATGCGGGGCTGCAAAATAAAGAAAAATTTTATCTTACAAGGAGATGACTTTTTAACGGTGATTAAAACACGGGTCAGGCAACAACCCTGGAGGTCTTGACAGGAAAAGGAAATAAATCTTTTGTTTAGATAGACGGGACCAACGGAGAAAGAATCTAGGAAGATAGAGATGAACGGGTGCACGGAGAGATGAGAGTGAGAGTAGGAAATCGCCAGGGCTTGGTACAGAAAGGGGATAACATGGAAAAAAAAGGGGGGGGGGGGGGACAAAGTGGGGAGAAAAATATCAGGGGAGTTGGAACCAGGCATCTCAGCCGGGCGGTAGAAAATAAGGACTGGAGTTTATGAACGGAGCTGTTTACTGTATAATTTTAATCAAGTAACAAAAAGTGTATTGATCGGCACGCATAGAAAGAAGTAGAAAGATAGAAGAACACACTAGACAACATAAAAATCGAAAGCTATAGTTACCGTGCCGGGAATTGAACCTGTCACCACTAGACGACGTGTGCGCTTCGCCAAGAATACAAGTGCACTAAGAACATGGTCGACTAGGCACCCCCAAAAAATGTGTCTTATTAGCCATGTCTATCGCACAGCTTGAAATCCACAACTATGGAAAACAGACAGAATTCATTTCAAACCATTGAAATAGCACCATAGGTTACATAAATTTATATTAACGAAGCATATGTCGAATAACAATTACAGCAACAATTTACGAACACAGTACAGCTTAATGCTTTGTCTAAAATACACAAACATTTAAGAAAGGTATTTTATTGGTAGGTTTCCGTATGGTAGAGAGTTACTTTCGTTAAAAGATCAGACAGTTTTTACTTGGTGTTAGAAGTAGTACTTCAAGTACTTATGAAGCATACATCACTGTACCATATAAATCAGTGTCGTACTTGATTGTGCATTATGTTGTTACAATAAATGACTAAACTGATAAACATTAATTTATCGATCACTGACCGTGTTGTTAAATACAAGAAAGACACAATGACTCTATCTATCATACATTTTCCGTTTAGGCATGCTTACGCCTGGGTGGCATAGAAGAATAGATTGTGTCCAATCTCTCTCATTTTCTCTCTCTCTCTCTCTCTCTCTCTCTCTCTCTCTCTCTCTCTCTCTCTCTCCTGTTTATGTTGTGTGTGTGTATCATCAACGTGTGCGCCTCTTGGTGTGTAAGTGTAATGTGTGTGTGTGTCTACTTGCTTGTCTACGATGTATGAGTATTTTTGCATGTATATTTAAAGGTATGCATTTTCCATCCGTACCTTTGTATGTTTAATTTACAATATACAATGAATTTTGATATAAGAACATAATAGGCTTGATATTTAAAATGCAGCTGCCGCCTGAAAGCTGAATACTTGCAAGGGCCGAATGTATGACGGGCCTGCGTGGTCGGTTTGTAACCCTTTTGAAATAAAATTTGTTCGTTTATTCGTTCTCTCTCTCTCTCTCTCTCTCTCTCTCTCTCTCTCTCTCTCTCTCTCTCTCTCTCTCTCTCTCTCATACACATAATATCTCATTAGGACTAACTGCATTCTTCCACGTCGATGTTTGTGTGCGTCCTCTCTCTCTCTCTCTCTCTCTCTCTCTCTCTCTCTCTCTCTCTCTCTCTCTCTCTCTCATGTTTGTCTCTTCGTTTGTGTGTGTGTGTGTGTATTTGTGCATACCTATGTTCATGTAGATTCATATTCTTTTTCCAGCACAAGTAGTTTTTTTCCACCGAGCCTGCGACGATGGGTCCTATTTCGAAAAGCATCTCTACAGCCCCAGGTTCGAACACCTGCCTCCCGACAACCAAACCACCTGTGACGTAGTCGGCGATATCGGTACGGCCGTCTGCTACACGCCTTGTGACACCGACTTTTGCAACGGGCCCCAGCTCATCCCTGAGAAAAACTGCACTGACTCGGACACCGAGGGCTGTAGAGCGCCCGGGATCTTCCTCAAAACGCAACTAGTGCTTGTGGAACTTGTGTCTCTCATCTCATCGTTGCTGCTGGTTCCCTGGTTTTTGTTCCACCGTCCTTGAGTCTGTAGTCAGGAGCTGATCCGTACTGGAAGTTGCGGGTGCACAACTGACCTCACACATCAGGACAAGTTAGGGGTCATTGTGTTTCTTGGTTGGTTGGCGCTGGTTAAAGGCAGACATTGTTTGCTCAGATCCAAATAGACAGTCTGGGAAAGATTGGCGATGCCCGTGGAGCAGGAATACACCTGCCAACCTCGGACACATCTGTGATATTGATTTTTTTTTTAAACTTTTTAATATGCTGCTATCTACATCGTAATACGAAAATGGACATTCTGAACGACACACCTACCTTTCCCTGTTATCCCCCCCCCCCCCAACCCCAGGCTTTTCTCCTACAAAGTGGCTGTTCAGCAGGTTAAGTCTTTCTTTTACCATGAGGGATATAAAGAAACCGTTTTGCAATCTTCACTGGCACCAAATTCCTTGTCGACTGGCATAGGCGATCATTCTTGATCACATCTTGCGATTCTATGCTATACAGCATGTAGCACTTCGAATGCCAAAACATTTCGGTGCCATAATATCAGTCTGTCAAGAATCTACTCTAGTTGTCTTCCGAAATCTCCTTTCTAAAATTGTCTTTATTTATCACAACAGGCTCTAGTATTCCACCTCACATAATGTAAATGACAACTGCTTGTTACACCTGTTTGCGATATGGTGTAGTTGTGTCTTAGCCCTTTTCAGAACATTTTCAGGACTCAATTCGGCTAAGCCATAATATTTGGGCGTTTTACTGTAAAACTATATCTATATAAGCTGCCTGAAGCAACAGGTCCAAAAGTTCAAAAACTAGCTACACGCAGATTTTCAGTAAACAGAATAGTACCCTTGCCACCATGTTTCTGTATTTATGGTGTGAATCATCTTTCAGTATGTATCTTTGTGTACAGTGATTCGTTTTTGTAACATTGTGATTTTTTTTTTCAAACACTTTTGTACATAGAGACTGCTTTTGTAAAATATCTATGTAAATAGAGATTCCCTGCTTTCTCTCTGTGCCATTTTGTCCATCAGCTGCCTTTGAGGCCTTATTGTCTTAATGCAATATTTGCTGTGAGGACTTATAAATCTGGCTGCAAATTGTTAGTTTTATGTGTGTGTGTGTGTGTATGTGTGTGTGTATATGTGTGTGTGTATGTGTGTGTTAAACTGATATTTGCTACACGGATACACATTGATGGGGTTTAACTCAACAGTGATATGTACACCGATGCACAGTGATGATAATTAAAATAATAGTGATATTTGCAACAAGGACAAGCAGTGATGATAATTAAATTAATAGTGATATTTGCAAAAAGGACAATCAGTGATGATAATTAAATTAATAGTGATATTTGCAACAAGGCCACACAGTGATGATAATTAAATTAATAGTGATATTTGCACCAAGGCCACACAGTGATAATAATTGAATTAATTGTCATATTTGCAACAAGGACACACTGTGAATAGAATTAAATTAATAGTGGTGAAAATTAATTTATTAGTGATATTTGCAACAAGGCCTTACAGTGATGATGATTAAAATAATAGTGATATTTGCAACAAGGACAAGCAGTGATGATAATTAAATTAATAGTGATATTTGCAACAAGGCCACACAGTGATGATAATTAAATTAATAGTGATATTTGCAACAAGGACACACAGTGATGATAATTAAATTAATAGTGATATTTGCAACAAGGCCACACAGTGATGATAATTAAATTAATAGTGATATTTGCACCAAGGCCACACAGTGATAATAATTGAATTAATTGTCATATTTGCAACAAGGACACACTGTGAATAGAATTAAATTAATAGTGATGAAAATTAATTTATTAGTGATATTTGCAACAAGGCCTTACAGTGATGATGATTAAAATAATAGTGATATTTGCAACAAGGACACACAGTGATAATAATTGAATTAATTGTCATATTTGCAACAAGGACACACTGTGAATAGAATTAAATTAATAGTGATGAAAATTAATTTATTAGTGATATTTGCAACAAGGCCTTACAGTGATGATGATTAAAATAATAGTGATATTTGCAATAAGGACACTCATTGATGATAATTAAATTAATAGTGATATTTGCAACAATGACAAGCAGTGATGATAATTAAATTAATAGTGATATTTGCAACAAGGACAAGCAGTGATGATAATTAAATTAATAGTGATATTTGCAACAAGGCCACACAGTGATGATAATTAAATTAATAGTGATATTTGCAACAAGGACACACAGTGATGATAATTAAATTAATAGTGATATTTGCAACAATGACAAGCAGTGATGATAATTAAATTAATAGTGATACTTGCAACAAGGCCACTCATTGATGATAATTAAATTAATAGTGATATTTGCAACAAGGACACTCATTGATGATAATTAAATTAATAGCGATATTTGCAACAAGGACAAGCAGTGATGATAATTAAATTAATAGTGATATTTGCAACAAGGCCAAACAGTGATGATAATTATATTAATTAATAGTGATATTTGCAACAAGGCCACACAGTGATAATAATTGAATTAATTGTCATATTTGCAACAAGGACACACTGTGAATAGAATTAAATTAATAGTGATGAAAATTAATTTATTAGTGATATTTGCAACAAGGCCTCACAGTGATGATGATTGAATTAATAGTCATATTTGCAACAAGGACACACTGTGGTTATAATTAAATTAATAGTGATATTTGCAACAAGGACACACAGTGATGATAATTAAATTAATAGTGATATTTGCAACAAGGATACACAGTGATGATAATTATATTATTAGTGATATTTGCAACATGACACACAGTGATGATAGTTAAATTAATAGTGATATTTGCAACAAGGATACACAGTGATGATAATTATATTATTAGTGATATTTGCAACATGACACACAGTGATGATAATTAAATTAATGGTCATATTTGCAACAAGGACACACTGTGATTATGATTAAATTAATAGTGATATTTGCAACAAGGACACACAGTGATGATAATTAAATTATTTAATAGTGATATTTGCAACAATTACACACAGTTTTGGGGATTAAAAACAATAGTGAAATTTGCTGCATGTATATACAGTTGAAAGGGGGGGGGGGGCAAATTAGATTAACTGTGAAATTTGCTACATAGACACACAGTGATGTTGATTGATTGATTACTGATTTAAGCATCGACGTCATAGCACACCGGTCATACCCATAGATGCTCCGTCTCCCGCAGCAGATGTCTTAAGGGGTCGATGCTAGCTGTTTCCGTAGCGCAGCGGTTTTCAATATTTTTTTCGCTGCGGCACCCTTGTCGGGCAAAAAAAAAAAAAAAATCGCGGCACACCTACCTTTGAAGCGGTTTGAATTTTTAGGAGGAGAAGAAACAAACAGTGCAAATTGTATGTTCATTTGTCTTTAATGTGATGAATGAAACTGTTTGGATGATTTTTTTCATTATTTCCTTTATGTATATGGATAGTTCAGGTAATTTTACCGTCAAATCACCTGATCCAGAAAGTTTGCTCCTGTATCTGGTTTTCTCTTTTTGGCTTCCTTCACGGTACTTCTGTTTTAAACTGCTGTCTTCGCTGATCTTAAGCAGATTTTGAAAAAAAACATTCTTGATTAATGCCGCGGCACCCCTGGCATACGCTCGCGACACCCCTGGGTGCTGCGGCACCCAGTTTGAAAACCGCCGCAGTCGCACACTAATTATACGCACATCGTTCTCTTCCTCTCATGCGTCCCTACTCACTGGATCCACACTGATTATTCGCACATCTTCTCTTACTATCGGGCGTCCCTACTCACCGGATCCACACTAATTATACGCACATGGTTCTCTTCCTCTCATGTGTCCCTACTCACCGGATCCACACTAATGATACCCACATGGTTCTCTTCCTCTCATGCGTTCCTAATCACCGGATCCACACTAATTACACGCACATCGTTCTCTTCCTCTCATGCGTCCCTACTCACCGGATCCACACTAATTATACGCACATCGTTCTCTTCCTCTCATGCGTCCCTACTCACCGGATCCACACTAATTATACGCACATCGTTCTCTTCCTCACATGCGTCCCTACTCACCGGATCCACACTAATTATACGCACATCGTTCTCTTCCTCTCATGCGTCCCTACTCACCGGATCCACACTAATTATACGCACATCGTTCTCTTTCTCTCATGCGTCCCTACTCACCGGATCCACACTAATTATACGCACATCGTTCTCTTCCTCTCATGTGTCCCTACTCAACGGACCCACACTAATTATACGCACATCGTTCTCTTCCTCTCCTCCGTCCCTACTCACCGGATCCACACTGAATTCCTTGTTCACACATTTTCTGTGATAATTTGGGTAAACATTGAAAGTTACTGGATTGTTACACATACGTGGTCGATGTGGGCGGGGGTGGGAGTGTGAGGGGAGATGAAATCTAGTAGAACTAAGGCGTAAGTTGGTTGATAGTCCCAGGAGACACAGTGATGGTGCTCTTCAACGATAGCCCCATGTTCGTGCGATATGAAGCGATAGCCTATCATTGTTGTGATCTGACACACAGCAAGCAGTCGACCATCATGGACATATCACTGCTGGATTTTCTGATTTATATCAAGATTTTGAATAAACCAGACTTGTTTTCTCCACAAACTGAGTAGTCGTGATCTGTGTCGAGGGGATGGTGTTACCCTAAGGTTGCCATGAAGTCCCATATATATGTATATATAAACACACACATCTATACATATGTATGTGTGTGTGTGAAATATATATATATATATGTATGTCTGTGTGAGGTATGTGTGTGTGTGTGTGTGTGTGTGGGAAGTATGTGTGTGTAACTGTGTGAGGTTCGTGTGTGTGTCTGTGTGTGAAATGTGTGTGTGGGTGTCTGTATTAGGTATATGTATGTGTGCGTCTGTGTGAAGTATATGTATATGTGTGTCTGTTTGAGGTATATGTTTCCA